GTCCGTCTGAGTGTCCGTCCGTCGGTCCGTCCGTCGGTCCGTCGGTCCGTCGGTCCGTCCATCGGTTCGTCCGTCGGTCCATTCGTCGGTCCGTCCGTCGGTCCGTCCGTCGGCCCGTACGTCAGTTGGTCGGTCGGTCCGTCCATCCGTCGGAAAGGGTACGTTATGGTTTCAAATTTAATCAATAGTTCGGTGACCTGTCATTGCATCAATTGCTCGGCACCCGCTGCTTACCGAAACGTGTTTTTTAATTAAACGAATTAGCAAAAACCCGAACAAATAAGCCAGCGTAGAAATCTACAGTGCAATCAACAGTAATCGAACAAACATGCTAAGGCCCAACTGCTATAAGGGCGGGTATGTGTGTTAAAAACTTTTTATTGAAATGAATTCAACAAGAATTTTAACAGAACATTGATCACATTGAAATGATACAATGTCATTCGGACAATATCAACAGGATTCGAACCTGTGCGGGGACACCGCAACTGATTTCTAGTCAGTCGCCTTAACCACTCGGCCACGACTGCTTGCCTGTACTTGAATATAATAACACCCTTAATTAGGAATGATTGGATTTTCACATAAATGATGTAAAGTTTATATTATAAAACCGATACGCAGTCGACAGGATTCGAACCTGTGCGGGGAGACCCCAACTGATTTCTAGTCAGTCGCCTTAACCACTCGGCCACGACTGCTTGCTTTTGATTTATTGTAATAACACCATTAAGTAGGAATGATTGGATTTTCACAGTAATGAAGTAAAGTTTATATTATAAAACCGATACGCAGTCGACAGGATTCGAACCTGTGCGGGGAGACCCCAACTGATTTCTAGTCAGTCGCCTTAACCACTCGGCCACGACTGCTGGCAGGTAATTTTTTATAATAATATCATTAATTAGTAATGATTGGATTTTCACATAAATGATGTAAAGTTTATATTATAAAACCGATACGCAGTCGACAGGATTCAAACCTATGCGGGGAGACCCCAACAGATTTCTAGTCAGTCGCCTTAACCACTCGTCCACGACTGCTTGATCAACTATTAGTGCAGTTGCACTATTAAACTAGTCAGTTATTATAGAGTTTTCTCTTGCATGATAATTGTCACCCACTCACTAGGATTTGATACGTCATGCGAACTCCAAGAATGTTTTTAATTAGTTGTGGAAGCTACTCGACTACGGCTGCTTGCAATACCTCAAATTACAACGAAAAATTAACACTATTCGTGCGTTCGCAGACCATTTCCATAGTTTTCAGACATATATAGTGCATGTACAACGATACCACTGCTTCTTGTCATGCCGCGAGTGCGACGTGTAATGCCCACTGGGCCCTGGCTTTCCAATAATTTAGAACATTATAGGGTAGCAGTCATAGACCGTGTCAAAGAAGATATGCAATGGCTGTAAATAACGCGAGCCTACAGACTAAGTAGGATTGATTTCTGGTGCACTCGCCTCCGCCGTACACACAAACATTGCTCAATCTCTATTTGATGTCTACTAATTTAGTAGAACTGCGTTTTGAACATTTATATTATCTCAACCTGTATTTCTTAACCTTAACAACATGCGAGGAAATGATTTTCCCTCTCTCGGTGTTGATATCTATCCCCTGTTTAACAGAGCGCCTCCCCTATTTACGTACGTGTTGTTGTATTTATAGTTAGACGCCCTCGAATTCAATTGAGATTTAATTCGACTGAACATATTTGTAATTCGAAAACATGTTCGCGTATTGCGGTGCTTCAATCTGGCTTTATTTGCTGCGTCACCCATCTGTCTCTACATTTACGCCCCATGTTTAGGCTGCAGTGTGGAGCCATAGCTTACCATTTATCCACTAGATTATTATTGGACTTCAGACACCGCATGCGCACGTAAATAGCTTTATTAGAGTTCCCCAAGAAGATGTCGTAATAGAAAGTGTCTAGCGGATTAGGCTGCAGGTAATTAAAAATGAATGACCCGACGTGCGTGAAAGAAGGAGGGCGAAATAAAAAGGGCTCGCCTAATTGCGTATGAGCCGCATAGCGAACCCGCTGCACGAGGTCTTGTGGCTATTACCGCGCTGCGCAGACCTCGTCCGGCAGAGCGGCGTTCGCGTAACGGCGTCTGCAACACGCATTCAGCTGTGATTGAAACACTTTTAGGGTCATTCTCTATTAACTCTGTCAATAATATTCCGCCGCTTTTCTATTTCCCGCGCAGTTCCGCTCGTTTTATGTGCGACGTGATCTGAAATTCATAAGCAATGATCAGATTTGCGCCGAGTGTCTGCTTGTCACAGCGGAAACTAACTGTCGCCTTCTATGAGCGCACATATATAGCTGCCGTATATGCACAGAGCCGTGGCGCTAGCTGTGTGTTATATGACGCTGTGAAATGAGCGCATGACCGCCAACGACGATAGCCCCCGGCTGTTATCTTACTCAGGGTCTAAAATAATGCACGCGTGCGAATAACGACAAAATGGTCGGCCGATCGCAGCAATGTTTCTGATCAATTTCGCAATTGCGAATTTGTTCGTTAGCTACTCGCTGCCGCGCGCGCTCAAGCATCGCGTATATAAGATGTCTTCGGCATTCACCTCGTTTCCCAATAAACGCTAAAACGGCCATCTGCGTTCACACCAGCAGCGCACCACCCATTACAATATTAGCATGTAGCAGCCGTGCTAGATGTTTGTATCTATCAATCTGATGCATCAACATTGACGAGACAATCCACGGCCTTAGACGCACATTGTGGCCTCGGGGGATGCACTTATGATGACGAAGGTCAGAAAAACTGGTAAAACTACTTGCAGAGTGACAATGCACCGTTGTCACATGTTGATGCATGCAGGCTGATGATTCAAATATTTCCTCGCTGAGTATACACCTAGCCGTTGGTAATCACTGGATAGAGATAATGCATGGTAGCGGCAACGTTAGCCTGTACCCACGCACTCACGAATACGCCGCGCATGCACATCAAATCACATCTCATAATGCATATTACTAACGTCGTCGCCAGACCCTAAAAAGGGTGACAAAAGTAGCGTAGATTGGCAGAAGAAACGTGTGCAAATAAACGCAACTATATTGATGTAATGATATTTGAGCAGCATTCGTGGCGATAAAGAAAGCAACGCGGCTTTTTATTCCTTTTTATCGGTCGGCAAAACTAATTTTGCGAAATACATATAATCCCGAGAGACTCGCCGAAGCACGTTCTCACAAAACACGGCCTAACGTGCGCCTGAAAAGGGATTCAGCATCCGACATCTCGTTTCTTTGATTTATCTCGTCAGTATGTTTCTGTTGAACTATGTCCGTAATTAATGCCTGGGGAAGTATATTTGGCCATATAATATCGAAAGCCGCTGTCACTGTAGGGAATATACGTCGTTTTGTAACATACGGTAGATGAAATTCATTTCGTAATGGAATGTCTACTTCACAGTGATTATCGGTCAGAATTATTTGATACAAGACTCATTAATTTTGTGGCACTGATAATTTCCTGCCACTTGATGACATACATGAAGAAATACGAGTTTCGGTCGACGGCGAAAGCTCCCCAGCTATCTCCGGAACGTCTGTCTCGCCTCTGAGGAGGTTTTTCGCAGAGATGAACGCTGATGACGAATGTGAACCGGATGAAAGAAAATTGCGACAGAAACAGCACGCGTATATAGCAAGCTGCTGGCCGGCGACAACACATCGACGCACACTCCTAGTATAGCAGAACCGCGCGCACGTAGACTGTATATAATATTATGTATGTGCAACAATAGAGAAGAGAATTTCTCAGGCAGTACGGGCGTGCAACTGTGATGACATATATGCGTGTGTTTGAATATCTGGGCGCGTGCATCTGCGCCTATGTGTCTGGGCCGTGTCTCGTGCCTGCACATGCGTGCGTGTGTGTCTGTTTGCGCGCGCGTGTGTATCCGTGTGCGTGCGTGTGTATCCGTGTGCGTGCGTGTGTATCCGTGTGCGTGCGTGTGTATCCGTGTGCGTGCGTGTGTATCCGTGTGCGTGCGTGTGTATGTGGATGGGTGCCTGCGTGCGTCGAGCGCGCGAAGTGTTTGTATGTAACCCCGTGTGTGCGCGCGTGTGTGTGTGTGTGTGTGTGTACGCGCGCGCGTGCGTGCATGCATGAGTGCCTGGGTGCCGCCTGAGTGCCAGCGTTTACAGTTGTGCACGCATGTATGTTCGCATACCTGTCCTTGTGTGTCACTGCAAACCCATGCACGCACGTAATTGACTTCGTACCTGCGCACGTGCGTGTCTTTATGCACAATTTCATGTGCCTCCGTGTGTGTGCTCACGCGAGTACGTGAGTAAGTGTGTGCGCGCGTATGTGTGTGTATGTGCGAGTGTGTGTTTGTGCGTGTGCGTGTTTGTGCATGTCTGTGACTCTGTGTGTGTGTCTGTCTGTCTGTCTGTCTGTCTGTCTGTTTGTCTTTCCGTCTGTCTGTTTGTCTGTTTGTCTTTCCGTCTGTCTGTTTGTCTGTCTGTCTGTCTGTCTGTCTGTCTGTCTGTCTGCCTGCGAGTATGTGCGTGCATGTGTGCGTTTCTGTACTGCATGTCTACGCCTGCATGTCCGGAACGATCACTTTGTAATCACGCGACTACCGATCAAAATAACGAAAATCAAACATAAATACCACGATACATCATCATCCATCTAATCGCATCAGGGAAGAGACGAGATGCTATTTTCGCGTTTGTCAGTTGTTCCTACAAATTATCCGTAAGCTAATTGCGTGCCGAACGCAAAGTGACGCATTTCTCACTGCGCGCGTCTGGCCTGCGGGTGGTCGGAATAGGACGTGAACATCATAAAAATCTCCGTGCAAGAATTCATCTCGATGGTACGTATATAGTGACCAATAGCTGAGGCGGCGCGGTGCGACAGGCATGTGCGTGGCCGTGCGCGCCGCGTTTCCGCCTGTCTCGTTTAGCTTAAGCCTCTCGGCAGTTAGGAAGATTTAATGATATTATGAACGTGATGAAGAAAAACTGCGGACATTAGTGTGTGGGTGCCGGCAGTTATTCTTCTGGTGTTGCGATGCAACGGGAGGGCGGCTCGGTGAGACCATATTTGGGTTGTATATCCCATGCGTCATCGCGCGGTACATCTGACCCGGATGAACCTCCATCCGGGCGCCTGCGCTAGCAAACGATTCGGACTAAAATGACGTCCATGGCTGCAGCAATTGATGGCTCTGCGGTTAGCTTTGCATGACAGGACCATATGCATTAACGAGCGAGGTCGTTAGAAGAGCCGAGGCACGGTTATTCGTGTAATGCGACGCGGATTTTCTGAAGTCTTGTTCGGCAGTAAAAGCGAAGCGCACACGTGTAGCATCTTACTGTCTTTGTGGCTCGCTGGAGGCCCGTTTACGCGATATCTATTTTAGAGCGTTTTTATTTTTCACAAAAAGGGCGTTCAACCTGGGTAGAAGTGAGGGAGCGGCCGGCCGTGTTCTATTCACTGCATGCCAATGTTAACGAGCGAGCATTATGGATTTCTTCAATTCGCCTAGAGTGTTTTCATGCATGTATGATTCCGCCGGCTCGCCCCGGCGCCACATGCTTTATGCGTTTTACAGGTATCACCAAGGTAACACCTGGAGATAAAAATAGATAAAAACAATTCGCGAATGTCGTTCATGGAAAAAACCAGTTTTTGCCCCCACCACCACCACTCAAACGCGATAGCTTTGCGCAGCATATGTATTACTCACGGTGCATCTCGGCACATATGCGTTCATATTGCCTGTATTGCTAAGATTCTTGGGGCAACTGCCTGCGGGGACAATGTGTTCAGCTGCCATCGAGACGCGCCACAATGGCATATTTCACCCCTCCTTCGCTTTGGCGACGACTATTCCGAAATTCAATTACAACGTGCAAGCGTGCTGCTTGGATGCTTTCTCAGCGAAATTACGAGGTGCGAGTCGCTTTATGGGATGGTCGGTGCCTGCTTGCCAGTGTGTAATATCATATCGGCTGTATCGGTGCCACTGGCCTCATCAAATATAAGCTCCCAGTGTCGCGCTTCCATCAGGACAGCAATGCGTCGTGTGGCAGCTATGTGTAGACGGTCTTTCCTTATAAATTTTTAAAAGTGGAATCGGTCCGAACTTGTTCTTATTGACGCGTGCACAGCGCGAGCGTCTAATATTCATTAACTAAATGTGTGATGGACTAATAGAAATCCATAAATTACGGAGTGCGCGTCATCGCAATAATGGCCGAAATCTTGATGCGGAGTAGTAGTGGTGATGACACACACACTTACACGCGCGCGCACGCATACATGTGTGTGTGTGTGTGTGCGTGCGTGCGTGCGTGCGTGCGTGCGTGCG